AAATTTATTTAAAGTGAATTTAATTTTTTTTTTCTATGATACTGTTATTCATAACAAACATATTGATGCTAAAATTTGAGTTGAGTAATTTGTGTTCTTTGTAAAAAGTATTAAAACAAAAAAAAAAAAAATGTTGAATTTTATTTTACCATTAAAAACTTAAAATAGGAGCAAACGCATTATTTTATATTATAAAATTAATGAAAAATTATTTATTGAGAAAGTTATGTGAAGTTAATGTCATAACTAAATTTAATAATCTGATATTTTTAGGCACTGTAAATGAGGTTAGTCCTAACCCTGATGCTAAACCAGTAAAAGGAAAAAAAAAAAAACATTTCCAAGGAGTGAAGGTAGTTAAAATAATAATGGTGCCAATGGAAAAAGAAACCTTTTGACACTCCATTTGTTTTGTTTTTTGCAGTCACGGAGGCTCAAGTTCGCTTTTGTTTTAATTTTTTAGCATTAGAAATATTTGATTTTGTTTTGTTTTGTTTGGTTTACGGCATATCAACCTCAATGGGTTATTTAATGCCAACAACTTTTTTCTTGGTAATATTTTGTTTTGTTAAAAATCTATAGCTGGTATTTTAAAAAATCTATAGCTGGTAATATTTTTTTTCAAAAATATATTGCTAGTAATAGATTTTTTTTGCCTTCAAAAATTTATCTCTGGTAATAATTCTTTACAAAGTATTTCTGGTATTAAAATCTATTTTTTTCAATTTCTTAATGCTTTTTACCTCAGTTTGGGGGGTTAATATTTGCCCATAGCTGGGACCCTAGCAAGTGCTACCACCCTGGGTCAGGGTAGACCTGGGAAACTTCAGCAATTAAGAGGTGGTTCCACGCTCCTCAAAACCTACTGATCAGAGGCCTTGCTGTTGGATGTAGTTTATCATCTTACCCTGGACGCGGGTGTAGTTTATTGCCATACCCAGGACGGTATTTGATTTTGTGAGGTCCAAAAGATTTTCCAGGGATTTTATCTCCAAACCCATTTTTGATGCCTAACTATGCCAATGATTTATTCTTTCAAAAGAAATAAAAACCAAAATATGCCCTGCCATAGTGGGAGAGATATACCCCAGATTAAGAACCACCGAGGTATATCGATAGGTCTACAGAAAGCATTTATTTTACATAAATATCTATTTTTTGACACTCTTTCTTTGTCAATGCACTTAATTCATTGGTAAATATACTTAGATTAAAGAGTCAAGATTTCAGATCAAAATTCAAATTACAGGCTATGGACAAGGATTCATCCTCATATACAAACAGTGGATACTTTTGTGCAGCCAAACACCATCAGCCAGTATGGGGGTTATACTGGTTTCTAATATCATCTGAGCAATAAGATAATACATTATACAGTGTGCGGCAGAAATACCTCCCATAGAATGGTATGACATTAGCTAGATGAAGACACCACTGCACTAATGTCTTACCATTATGTGGGAGGTACGTCTGCCACACCTTGTATAAACTAAAGAGTGATCATTTCACACCTTTCATCCCAATTAACATGTATTTCAATATGTGCATGCTACTTGATAAGAAAGAAATGTGACACTATGATCAGGTACCCACATAGAAGGGGATGGTGTGGGATTTTCTCTGCTTTGTGTTTTATGAGCAGTGATATAATCAGGAAAGTGGTGTGTTCAAAGCGGCAACCCACTTGACCAAAATAAAATAATAGCTAAATAAATTAAAACTTTTGAGGTTAAGTGACAACAAACTGAACATTGGGGATTTCCGGCTGCAAGCCTATATTAACAGTAACTGTTGGGATTGAGGGGAGTTCTGAACAGACTGTCCCTCAGGATAGTTCCACTGTTGCTGTGATGGGCAGATAGTTGAGAGAAGGAAGAGTGAAGTGGAAAAGCTGATCTGTTAGCTGGAGATGTCAGAAGTGGCAGACGTTGGCATCTACATCATGCAAGTGAACCCCTGAAATAAACACCTCAGAAACAGGACTTTTGAGTCCTCGTTTCTTTTCGTGGGGTTTACTTTCATTGTGAACTTGCAACGGGCCCTTACTAATTTTTAGTGCACAAATGATTGATTGATATCTCCGACTTATCAATCCTTTGCAGGTTATTTAAAGCCAGAAAATATTTTTAGATTATAAGAATTGGTGGGGGAGGGGTTAATCTTACTAATTAACCCATAGCTCGAGAGAGATGGATTCCAAACCATTATCACACACACATCGAAGCTTACAGAACCTGGTATTCCCAAGGGCTCACCCATCTAGGTACTGACCAGGCTTGACATTGCTTAACTCTGGTGATCATACAGGGTGCAATATATGTATTTGTGCATCCAGTCAATGAAAAGCTAGGATAGGTCACCATTCCATTGTATGTTTACAAAGAAAGAGATTCATGTCCAAAATGTTTCTGAAAGAGATACTCAAACTACAAGAGCAATTACAAGGTACTTACCAAAATGAATAGAATCGGTCAACTTCCTTATACGATGCTGACATATCTCCTAATTTGGAAACTGGTTTCTTGACTGACCATCTTGCAGGAAGAAAATAAAATAAAAAGAAAAACTATTCAGAAAAAGGTCTCCAAAAAGCAAAATTCAAGCAAAAAATGAATTATTTTAAGAAGTGTTTACAAATAAAAAGATTTGAAATTGACAACTTTTCCCATACTTCTGTCTTTCTCACTGAAACCAAGTAGCGTTTCTGATATCTCTTGTCTTCGCATCAAAATGGAACAGTGCATTATTTATCAAGGAGGTGTTAAACACCTCTATCTTTCTTTTTTCTTCTGTAAACCCAAGAAAACGAAATAGTTCATTATTTATGGGGCATTGGCAGCGCGTAATGGTCGTGCAAACTGAAGGCGGGAGAGAGGGACAAGCGTAATTATTATATGACTAGAAAGACTCATGAAAATTTCACGGTTTTCCTATTTTAATGTTTTGATGAATCTTAATTCTTCAGTTAATGATTGAATAAGCTCATGGCAAGCTTTACCATAAAATATCCATAAAAATTCCCCATTAACATCGTTAAATATTTGAGCTGAACAACTTTAACAAAATATTGCAATGACAATCATAAATATGAATGCTGGTTGTTATTTTAAGAAGTAAGGGGGTACAAATGAAAAGATTTGAAACTGACAACCTTGAAAGAAATTTCCTAAGCACAAAAGTTAGTCAGTTATGTGTTATGCATGATACATGCTTAGGTGATCATGTATCTTCTGATACATGACTGACGATGCAGATTTTTTTTCCCTTCAGTAGGGTTTGCCATTTCTTTCTGTGGTAGACCAGTTGTCACCCAAGGCTAGTAGTAGTAGTAGTAGTGGGGGAGACTGGGGGGAATAGAGGGGGATAGAGAGAGAGGGAGAGGAAGAGAGAGAGAAAAAGAAGACGTTACTTAGCAAGTCAGTGATAATTCACTACTACTTTCCCCAATAGTATATTTTTTGTAATTATTGAGGGTCCAATGAGTAAATTGTGGTAATTTTATATTTTTAATTTTGTCAGTTGGGCACAGTTTGTGAGAAAAAAATACTACCATGATGCAATTCACTCCACTACAAAATTTGGAAACAGCTTCAGTATTTCTTGGCATTTGTGGCCAAAGCTCCAATACGAACATTTCAGAGTGTTTGGGTGTCAATCTGAGGACAGTGCAGAGGATTTGGAAAGAGCTGGATGAGTCTAATTGTGATTATGAGAGCATGGCAGCTCATAAAACTAACTCTGACAAAAGAACTCCTGAATTCGTTGGTGAGCTCCAAGCCATGATCAACAGCAATCCCTCCAAGTCAATCAGGTCCATAGCCAGGGACACAGGAGTGTCAGAGTTTCTTATCAAGCAGGTAATACATGAAGACATTCAGTATTTCTCAGACAAGATGAGTATGGCCAATTTTTATCTCAAGCCATGAAGGACAAGAGAAAGACCACATTATCAAGCTTTTGAACAAACTCCAGCATCCCCTCCAACTGAACATGCTAAAAATGGTGAACCCACAGAACAACCGTTGGCTTGCTGTGTCCCCAAAAGATGTAGCAAGAGTGATGAAAACCAAATATTCAGTCAATATCATGGGGTTTTGAGTGATCACTAGTAATGGTGACATTATGCCTCTATTCATCATCCCACAGGTCCTCAGGCTCAACACAGAGTCCTACACAAAGTTCCCTGAGAAGATAGTGCTGCCCTGAGTCAAGAGGCTGGCAGCTGAAGACCCTATGTCTGGCAACTATGCCACACAAGCAGGAGAATCCAGTCATTGTTGTCAGACAATTTCTGTGACCACATCTGGCCACCTAATTCCCCAGACTGCAACCATCTTATGTGTGGGGGTGCAGTTGAGCAAGAGACCAACAAAACTCCTTGTAACACCAAAGATGAACTGAAGGCAAGGATTATGGCAGCATTCACCAACTGAAACAAAAAGACTGCTCAGAAGAGTTGAAGGAGATTCCAAAGTCATCTGGAGGCCATGATTGAAGCCAATGGTGATTTTATTGAATAAATTTATTCTTTAGTATTTCAAGAAATTTTTATGAAATTTTGGTTAATATATCTGTTAGAATGAGATATCAGTGTTATTTTCATTTTTGCATCATTTAGATGACAATTTATATCCAGCACGCCCTGTACAACCTTAGTTTTGAAAGGGTTAAGAAAGAATCTTTTTTTTTTTTTTTTACATACCTAGCATTCCGTTCAAACACAGGTCCAAAAACTGTGAAAAAATTTTGTTTAGAATTTGTACAGTTGGGTGGAATCTCATTGTCAAATTCCGGATCAACACTGTCATAGGATCTACGTTTCACGGGATTGCCTAATATTTCATAAGCTGCAAAATAGAAAGAAAAGATGGAATGGCAATGAAAAATCTCATCAGTCATTTATTTATCTTCTAAAAGCATCTACAACAATTCTAATAAGTAGCTTTGCTATTTGGAAAGAGGGGAGAAATTTTAAGGACAAGACAGATAAAATCCTAAATTATAGCCATCAAAGTTGACATCAAAAAATTGGTGGACATTGCAAAAAAAAAAAAAAAAAAAAAATTATGATTGGAGGATACAAAGTTAAATTCTACAAAATAAAACTGGAGAGAAATCATTTGCAATGCTTTTTTCCTTAATCAATAAATTTTTTCAGAAACATATCTGGGATAGAACTACTGAAACACCACTTTTCAGCTCCCTTAAGGGAGTTCAAAATTATTTACGCAGTCTTCTGTCAGAAGACTTATTCTCCACTGTCTAGTCTCTTTCCCCACAAACACAACGTTGCAAGCATGTCACAACTATTTCCATGGCAAATGTTCAGATGAGACTCGTTGTACCCATTAGTGCTCAGGCCTCCACCCGTACTCAAGCTTTTTACCAGCCAGGCCTCCACTCAGTTCAGGTATTTACCACAAAGGGCTGCTACTTTGAGGAACAGATTCTCATTTGGTGCTTCCCTGATCACTAACACCTTAACCATTTCAAGTCACGGGCCAATCGATTTTCTAATCTCCTTATCGTTATGGCTTTCAATTCCTACCCCCCCCACACACACACACACTCTTTCACTAATATCACACTTCATTCATCATAAACCATTTTAACAGTAAATTTATCTTGAATGGTTCCCAAGTCTTGTATTGGCAGAACTTTAGTATTAAAAAAGTATGCTGTCAAAATGGTTAGACAAATTCAATGAACTTACCTTTAGATATACATGTAAAGTAATCATCATCTTTAATGACATTGCCCATTTTTCTCCGTTTATCTGGGTGATGTTTCAGAACTTTGGCCTTATCTGGATAAGAAAATATTTTTATCACAATTAACCTCATCAAATTCAAGAAAAAAAAAAAAAAATTTTTTTCCCAAAATTAAGTCACTGGTATGTGCAACTTTTATGATTTCATCTGAAAATTTACAACACCGAATAAGACAAAAATCATCTATTTAACCTTTATCACTGTGTGTGATTTTCTTTGCTGCTACTGAATGTGACCCTGATCCCTGAACAATAGTGCACTTGAATTTCATAGTTGTGTTGTCATATTCTGCTATGGCAACATCAAATAAATTTGAGTGAAATTAACAATAAGGATACCGCAATTGAGAAGTATTGAAAAAAAAAAAAAAAAAAAAAAAATACAGTAGAAAGAGAAGTAATATTAACAGTGCGCAGTTAATTGTCCTCAAACGAGCATTTGTGGACACTTCTTTCCAACCATTTCTGTCAGCCATAATTTTACCCAGTTCTACCTTTCTGATTCCAGTGTGAAAATTATCTGGAAACTATTTGGTCTTCAGAAAAAAAAAAAGAAATGAATTGTCCACTACAGAAATACTTACAGGCTTTCTTTATCATATTACTTGTTGCATTGATTCGAAGTTTTCCCAGGCCCAAAACGGCATAATGGTCTTGTTTCTAGAGGGGTAAGAATAAAATGAAAAAGATGTCAATTTATTCAGTCATAGAAACATTTACAAGATATTTATGTTCCTGTTAAAAAGTAAAAAAATTGATAAGTATTTTACAGCAGATGTGATATTATGTCTAGCTTAAAAAAATACATTTAAGATATATTCATAATTAGTAAGAAATTCAAACAACTTAAGACTATTATGTCTTATTACTACGAGGTGGAAACAAGCAAGAGAAATAAGATAAAAGACAAATCAAAAATGAATAATAATAATTCTTTATCTAAGATATTTAAACTTAAAACTATTATGCTTTATTACTTAGTGGAAATGAGAAATAAGCGGAAAGATGAGCCAAAAATGAATAATAATGCCAATGTTTCATGAACATCATTACTTTCTAGTGACAGTTTTAATGTTCATTATACAATTGATAATTATTTTTGGTATACATTTTCTACATTTTGTTTATTAGTACAATTCAAATAAAATTATTACTGAAATTGTTTGTTAGATCTTAAAACAAAAAAACAAAAAAAAATTTGTAATATTTTTTGACAAAAGCAACCAAACAAATCAGTGATATCATTTTGTAGAGAATGTTAATTCCCAAAAAGCTTTTATGTCAGTTGATGACAATCCAAGATGGCTGACTGAAATATCAGGAAAGAATTCTGTCTCAATTAGAAAGTCACTTTGTTATTCAAGAAAGCAGCAGACAATAACTTTAGAATTGCACTGTACCTTCCATTCTCGAGGATCCAAACTGAACAAAAGAGTCTCATCTTCGTCATCTGGCAATTCATCTTCACTTGATCCAGATTCGGATTCATCAGCATCTTCCCCATCAATATGATCATGAGAATGTTTATGGTGATAACGGATTTGGATCTGCTCAAAGAAACGGCCAACTGGTTCTACAGTCACCTGAATTGGAGCTAGAATAAATATAAAAAAAATAAATAAATAAATAAATGTCTGCATTGTTAAAATTTTTAAACATCATTTAATAAAAAAAAGAGAAAAAGTTAATTTCTTTAATCCCAAAACATATTTTTCAACATAACCCAACACTTTCTCCATTAATCAAATATGTAGGTACATGAATAAATTCATGTAGCATAATAATGAAAGAAGCATTTATGTTGTGCAACAAATGTTTTCAATATAATCTCCTTCCTTTTCAATACACTTTTGGTAATTACAGATGTAGATACATCAATAAATCTAAAGCTTAATGATGAAAAAGCATTTATTTTACACAACAAAAATTTGTCAACATAACCCAATGCTTCTCCATTAATCACATGTAGGTAAATCAATAAATTTGTAGCCTAATGGTGAAAAAAACATTTATTCTACACAAAAAATATTTTTCAACAATTTCCTTCCTTTTCAATGAATTTGTATAGTGGTGTTTATTAATTATAAAGTTTGAACGTTATACATTGAAATTTTCAGATCAAAATTCAGCTAACTGCCTCAGGCTACAGACTTATTGACCCATCCTCATATGTAGGTAGATCAATAAGTCTGTATCTTAATAAAATACAAAAGAAAAAAAAAAAATAGAAGGCTTAAAGATTTTGTTTGCAGTTTCATAATGGTGTAGAAAATGGACATATTTAAAATATGGAGTTACCAGAGAAAAAGTAGGAACTGATTTTAATGGAAGAAAAAGAGAATATAATGTAGTGGAAGTGATTAATGCCTAATAGTTCTTGTTTTTTGGGGGGTGTTTTTTGTTCCTGTATTAAATGTCAGTTCCTACTTTTTCTATTGTTTTAACTCCATAAACTTAAATAGGTTTGTCTTTCACACCATTATTTAAAAAAAAAAAAAAAAAAAAAAAAAAAGGCATTTATTTAGGTACCTCAAAAAAGTTTGCTAAAAAAAAAAAAAAGATGAAGAAGAAGATAAATGAAAAGAATACACAAAACACAAAATAAAATTTTATCAACACCTTTGCATTAAGATGGAAATACCAAGGGATTTTTTGATGTAAAAATTATTTTTTATCCTTTTTAGAATCTTGGAAATTTTGGTAAAAAAATCTTGTTTTTCTGGTGTCATTTTTTTTTTTTAAACATCTGTTACTCCCCACACATTTTTTTTGTAGCACTTATATTAGTTATAAGGACAAGTCCTTGGAGAATTAGAATTATCAAATTCTATTGGTCAAACAGGAGCCCTGGTTACAGAAAATCTTCATAAAATAAAAAATGCAATAAAACTAAGACATTTTTAATGAGGAAAGCTTTCAATTGCTATGATGAATAAAATATATTATGGACATTATTGTCTTAAAAAAATTTTTCAATGAATAAGGAATTTTTACAAGAATCATTTTTTTTTTTTTTTTTTTTAAAATGGTAATTATAATAATTTATAGTTTTAAAGCTTTTCAAATTCTGTAATAATTTGTAGCGATTAAGTGACATTGTTATTAAATTAAAACTGTATTTACTAATCATAAATGGAAAAGCAAACAATTCACCAACCCCAGTATTTTAAAAAGAATTTTGTATTTGCTTTATGCATATATAAACGTGTTAATTTTTGTAAATATGGACATCCATATATGATATTATCAGATAAGAGCTGTAACTATAGTAAATTTAAAAATTTATTGGTAATTTTCTAATATTTCCTCAACAAGCATCTTCATAAAGACCATAAAACCAAAGTATCTAAAATTCAATAAAATATTAGAATGCATAAATTTTTTAAGATTATTGGGTACTTAAAATTATATAAAAAGATAAAAGGTTATGTTGTATTCATTATGTAATTTTATTTCCATAATCTCCTCCTTACTTAAATTTTACAAACATCAGATTGCCAATAAATAAATCATTCATTCATTTAACTCTCATAAAAATTAAAAGCACCTCTGTGTTAAAAATTGATCTTTTGGGACATTTTAAACTAAAACTAATATTTATTTCAATTCAGCTTAATTCAACTTCAAATCAGCTAATTTTTCTCAACATTTTAAAAAAGTGTATTTTGGAAAAAAAATTTTTAATAATGAGAATTAAGTTGTGTTGACAGATTTTTCAATATGGACATTTTCTTTGATTTTACCGATAACCAGAAAAAAAATGGTTCCAATCAATTTAAATTCAGTTTAAAATACATCACATTATTTTGCTTATCACAAATATTAAATTTAATCTATTAGCTTGAAATTAAACCTAAAATAAAAGCATTTTAAGCATTAGATATATCGCTTTCTTCTGAAGGTACCTACATTTATTTTACCCAAGAAATACAGATATGACCCAGAAAACAATTACACCCCTTTCATAATAAGCCAAAACATGGTGGTATCAGAAAAAGCCACAAAACAAGTTCAATTAGCCAAAAGACTCATGGAAGATGATAGGAATTGCTTTCAAATAATGCATATTTATTCCAAAGAAAAGCCATAGAAGCCACAAGAGGATGTCAAAATGCATTTAACTCAGGTGGTCAAATAAGTAAAAGATAAATACACTGTAAAGGAAGCAAAGTACAATTAGAAAACACTAATTTCATGTATTTGCCAAAATATCTTCTATGTGCTATCATCATGGCTCTCCACAACTTCCTATCCTTTGTAGCTCTTAGCAATGTTAGTAATTTTACTATATCTCTCACTGTTTTGTTATCCATCTACATAAAAGGTTATTTGTTGTTTCAACACAACCCTTTTGCCCCCAATAGGGCAAATCCTCCATTCTCACTTTCCTCATTATGAGTCCCCAAAATTTAAACTCACTTCCAAAGCAAAAGTGTCCTTTTCATTCTAGTTTTCCTTAAAACTTCCTCATCACTCACATGTTCCACTGATGGATTCATTGTCTACAACTTATCAACCCATTGCAGGTTATTTAAAGCCAGAAAATATTTTTAGATTGTAAATTTTTTTTTTTTTTGAGATAATAATGATTCAGTATACAAGTCTTACTAATTAACCCATAACTGGTGGGAAGAAAAGGTTGATTCCTACCTTTCCAAAAGTATTTCCATATAAACAAATATAACAAACCCAACTGGTATTTGAACTTGGCTCTCTAATTAACAATTCCGAGCCATTATCCATTACATCACCTGCACATTCAAGCTTACAGCACCTAATATATATCCCCAAATGGTCACACCTCTAGGAACTGACCAGATCCAACTTTGCTTAATTTCAATGATTGTACAGGAAACAGTATTTCAACATATGGATGTAAACCACATGTTCTGTGGATCTGCTTACTAATAGTACAAGTGATTTTTTTGTTTGTTCTCTCCCCCTACCACACCATTGTGACTGAGTCTTATAAATCTTTCCACTCAACATATTTTCACCAAACTTGTCCATATTATCAATTTTCAAATCACTTCAATGACAGAACAAAAGATACAGTTATTTCTGTAATTGCACACAACAGAGCTCTGACTATTACCCACACAATGGCACAAGTGGTGTACAGATTACATCATCCAATGGAACTGGATAGGAAGACAGGCATTTATCTCTAGAAGATCAGAAAACTGACACTTGAGGGCAAAAAGAGAAATATTTCACAAAGTTTTTTTTTCCTTGAAAATGATATACTCTCATCTGCATTTCTTTCTTAAATGAAGTATTATTAACTATTATTAATTTTGATGTGTATTTACCTTCATATTCATTTTTTTAGTTTCTTCTTATACAATGCTATGCAAGCTGTGTACAATTTTTACTCAAAAAATATATTGCTGGTATTAAAACCTATTTTCACACTTTCATAGTGTTTTGTCCCCAGTTTGGGAGTTAACTATTTGCCCATAGTTGGGGCCCTAACAAGTGTTATATACCCCCAGTCAGGGTGGACCTGGGAACATCAGTAATTAAGAGGTGGTTCCATGCTCCTCAAAACCTCCTGATTAGAGGCCTTGCTGCTGGATGTAGTTTATCATCTTACTCAGGATGGAATTGCTTTTTTTTTTACCTTTTCCACAATGACATACTACTATTGTTAATAATGGTTAATCCTTTTTTTCAAAACAATTTCCAAAATGTATTTTAGGAAAACAGTATGGTTTATACTGATGTGATTATGGGTCTCTTGTTTAGTTGACCTTGATTCTCCATTACAGATTACACATGCAGGAGAGGGAATGTTGAAATTTTAAATTGAAGTTGTTTTTTTTTGTTTTGTTTTTTAATGTTTGGATAAACAAACACGTAATGAAAGATATACAGAAAAACAAACTAAATGAACCCGACTAGCATATCTCAACCTTGAAATAGTTTTGAAAAATTATTATAAATTACGGTTATTATCTTTTATATTTTTATCATAGTTCATGTGGTAAACATAATATATGGATACTCACCATATACTCAAGTGAGTCCCTGAATGTTACACAAAACCGCCATACACAGGTCCTGCCCACTAACAGCTCTGGACTCACAGCTGATCTTTCCTCTGATCTAATTCTAAAAGCTTAATAAGAGAAAAACTGGTTTGTAGTTTCAACACCTTTAAAACTAAGCTAGTATCATTCAATCATTACAGTTTGTACAATGAGGCTCCAATGCTTTGAACATCTGTTGGGTCTCAAGTTAACATCAGACTTCACATGGAACTCATTCCATTACCAAAAATGGTTGAAAAAAAAAAAAAAAAAAAAAAAAAAAAATGGCCAGCTCTTTCTATCGCTTCTGGAAGTATGCTTTGTCTTTACAAGAATCAGGTTAAACCAAAAATGGAATATTGCTGCCATCTATAGCCTGGAACTGCTCAGTCTTCACGTTCCAGTTTTGATAGAGTTTTAAATCATTTACACTGGTAGAATTGGTCACCATTCTGCAGCCCCTTCCTCACAGATCCAACATCACAAGCTTATTGTGACTCTACTGCTATTTCCACAGAAAATGTTCAGATAAGCGCCATCCTGCAGTTCTTTACTGCTAGGGCACACCATGTCACTTCCATGCCATCAAAACAACCTCATTTCTGCCAGTGTTCCAAAAGTTTCCTTCAGCTATCCCCACACCCAAAGTATTGTTACTTTATGGAGCTCCCACATGGGTGCTTCCTTGAATGCTGCAATGTTAGGTTCTTCACATCAAGGGTCAATCGTTATCTATCCTCTTTATTCTCATAATCTTTTTCACTCATATCATACCTTATTCATCATAAACATTTTAGAAGCAACTACTGCAGGTGGCTCTTGAGCCATGTGTTAGTGAATTTTAGGATTTAAAAAATGAATGTATTTTTTTTAATCCTTTCACCTCCAAGCAAGGCTACAAAGACAAGTGGTTACTCAAAAAAAAAAAAAAAAAAAAAAAATTGAGAAAACCTTATTGAGGCAAAAAGACAATAAAATGAACAGGATTCCAAAAGACAGAAGATGATGACACAAGTTGCACTTAAATTTTTGAAGATTGTAGTTGACATGAAAGCAAGAAGCCAAAGCGAGACAGGTGAGAAAAGAAACTATTGGAATCGAACTTACAAATAGCAATTTCGATTGTAAAATAACGTGACTTAGCTGTCAATCTTCTTCGAGGTTTGAACTCAACTTACCAATTCCATTTTTACTGACTTGCCTACAAGCACTCCCACTACAAGTATATTCTTTAGGGTCTAACAGAATTACTGTAACAAAGGAGATGTCAAGAGAATGGCATTGTTAATAGTGTTTCTAAGGACAGTCAGGGCAAGCAAGAAACTGAGACGAGCGACTGTGTTTCTTTCTGTATTTCTTTGTCATTTCACTTCAAGCTATTTCAGCAATGCTGCTTATTTATTGACTTCCTCAAAATGGCAAACGTGAAACTCAGCAGTGATATAATAAAGCCCTTCTATAATGACAAACCACCTGATGACTGTCTTGGATATAATTCATCCCAGAAAGAAGCCAGAGCTCCCCACTACAAAGTGCTCAGATAAAAAGGTGCACACTCAGCTGCATTTTTTGTGATGAGGACATGGGGGTGGGTAATGAAGGAGCTGTCAAGAAAAAGGCATTCTTAACAAGGTTTCCAAGGACAGTCGGGACAAGCAAGAAATTGAGACGAAAGTGTGTGTTTCCGTTTTTCTTTCACTTCAGTTACATAATTGGTTGGTAATAAATTCAAGACTCAATTTAGTTGAACTGATGAACTAAAGTTGAAAAAAAATAAAAATGTACTAAACAAATTAAAAAAAAAACAGACTACACACAAGAAAGACTGGGGAAAGTATTGGTGGCTGAAGACGAGTCTAAATAATTATGATCATTTTAGTGATATTGTCTTGTTGAGCAAGAAATTGCTGAGAAAAATTGGTTATCTACTTACCAAGCTGCTAACCGAATATCTCCCCCACCCCATAAACGAGAGTATTCAATTTAGCGTTTCAAACGATTTTTGCATACCAAACACTGATTTACCTCCCTTATATCTCACGTAATTTTTTAAGCTTCATCATATGTTTTTAAGAATTTTAAAATCAAAAATAAACAGACCTATCCTACTTCCGTTGCATTTTATTTTAGCCTAAAGACTCTAAGGATATCCGAAATAGTACCGTCCGAAATGTAATTTCGTTTTATTTCTCATGAGTTGATATCCGACAACTTAATTATTATTATTAAATTCTAATTCTGAGATTTATTGGTCAGAAATGTTAATATTTCGGGTTTTACTTACGAAAAAAAGATTATAAATTCAACTGAATTTTGAACGCTATAATTCGGACTTTTCAAATATTAAAAACTGAAAGGAAAAAATGTGTGATGAATCAGTGTTTACAAACAAAATAAAAGTCATTTGCAACGCTAAACTTAACAAAATCTGTCATTTGACAAAAAAAAAAAAAAAAAACTACTTTCTACTTTTCTACTGCAATAAGATCAAACTCGGATACTTTTTTTCTAAAATCCATCCAACTACAGAGAACTCCTCATCAATAAGAAAATCTCAGAATAATTGTGAATTTTTATTCCGAAAAGAATTTCAAGATGTGTTTGCTGCCATAAAATAATAAATGAAATGATTGAAAAATGTAACCACCCTTTTTTTTTTTTTTTAACACTATGTGGATTATTGTCCCCATCTTTGTACGTTTCGGGGCCGTTGAGCTCTCCAGCCTTCGTCAGAGGTGCATGTCGAGCGGGGTAACCCAACCTGTTTTGATTTTTTATGCGCACGCCAGGGCAATTATCCTGCCTTTTTTTTTTTTTTACCATAGATCTAAAGAATGAAAATTCTATCATTTTTTGACATCAAATCGTCATGGATTTTTTTTATTTTATATCCGGTTTAAAATTAGTTGAATTGATTTTTTTTGTATTAAATCGCAAAAAAAAAACACTTTTTTTTTTTTTTTTTTTTTTAATTTTTTTTACTGAAGACAGTTCCCGGACGTTCATTTTAAATGCCATAATTCAAATTTTAATATGTGGGAAGTAAATATATGATGTTTTGTGAAGCTGAAGGTGTGAAAAACGACACAATAATAGCGTCCGCTTACTCTTCTTTCATTTTTTTTTAAATGTAACAAAACGCGATGTAAGCAAATAAATTACATTGCACCAACAACTAAGTTCTTATCTTCATAATTGCATCGTTTATGGTTTCAGTCATTATCTCATTAATGGGGATTGTTTATGGCTTTTCTTGTCGCTATAGTACACGAAAACAAGTAATTAATAAATAAACACGAAAACAAAAACTGAAAGTAAGAACTAGGGGTCGACGTGTTTCATAATAGCGCCAATTTTTGAGTGGAACTCTCCAGTCAAGGAAATGTGTTTCATTTCATGCAGTTTGCCTGAAAATTCATTGTCAGCAGACACGTGTGTAGGAAGAAAAAATATCATTTCTCATTCATTCATTTGAAACAAAACTAAATATCGATATTTTTTTCTTTATTCTCACGATCTACAATGTTCGACTTTCTTTTCCCGAAAACGAAAAAAAAAAAGATTATTTCGGTTTAAAAGAGTATTTTTTTAAAAAAATGGATATTTTTGTAGTGAATTTAATTATGAACCAAGAAAAGTAACTTTCACCTCTAAATTCTCAAATAGAGAATTTAAATTTACAACCAGGAACTTGCTTTAAAATCGCTCATTAATTACATTTATTTCTATAACAAAAAAAAGTAGGGTTAAAGTCAATCAGCACATGGCTCCATACAGAAAGGCTGATTGCTGAACCTATCATTTTCAGATTTATTCAAAAAAAGCCTACAAGCAAAGAGATTATTTTGTTACTTTGAACTTTAAGTTTTAATTTTGATACAAAGAAAACTAAAACATCTAATTAGTTTGTTAAAAAATAGTTTTTAAAACAAAAGTAACGACAGAACCTTCAAAGTTTAAAAAAATGACATTTCTTTTCGTTTTTTTAGTATGAACGACAACTAACTTTTACTTTCTCGTCGACAAAAGCAATGTTCAAAAAAAATTACTAAGAAAAAAAAATGTAATGCCAGCAAAAATTTATTTTTTTATCATTAAAAATAATTGCGCCATCAAAATTTAAAAAATAGCATCACACACGAGAGAATGTCGAAAACTTCCTGTCCCAACCAAGAAAGAGTTTTAAAAAAATTAATTAAAATTGTGAAAAAAAGCTGTATGTGTGTGCATATTTTTTTTCAGCCTAAAAGGGCTCAATATCATGGATAGAGTGTGTATCCACTCTCGTAAGTACGCAAGAAAAATTTATTAATGAAAAGTTTAATAATCACAGTACCTTGTCAGTAATCTTCAATTAAGAAGTGGGTATATAAAAGAACGATTGCTGTCCAATTAACAGACAATTATCACACGCACACCTACACGTGTGTATGGGTGTACGTATTTATTTTAAAGTTGTGTACAGTGTACTACATATATTTACGACGCACACATTCCACAACTATTTTCTTTAATTTAAAAAGGAGGGGGTTCTAAAGTTGTTTTGTTAAGTAATGGCTTTTTTTTTCCTAGTCTTGGGATAAGCACGCATACACTTTTAAATGTGCTTTCCTTTAATTATGTATTATATATTAATAATTAAATATGATGTATATAGAATTACACACAACAATACACACATTACAAGTAATAATAATAGTTACATTTTAAACTGTCGTCTACAAAGGTAAGATCTTCCAAAAGTTTTCACACCGACCGATTCATCTTTTTCTTCTTTCTCTTTTTAGACCTTTTCTTCTTTACGTTTGTTTAAAAGAATTAAATTAATTTCTCTTTCGATTGTTACTAATTCGTAAAATATAAAAATCACATTTATTTTTCTCAAATGAAAAAAGTTATTTAAATCGATTTAGTAACCAAATTATTGTTATTTAAAATCCTTACAAAAAAAGAAAAAACCCACATGGCCTTGTAAACGATGAATGGTTTTTTTCCCAAACTTTAGTCATGTAAACTATTTACGAATTACTTGATGAATTACATTTTTGATCTTTTTCATTTATCATCAGTCAGTTTAATCAATCTGTACATTTATAATTACTTTAGTTTAAAAATAAAGTTCATTGTATTTTCAACATATTTCCTACCACAAAGTCTAAAGAACTTGATTTTTAGAGAGGGACAAAGACAAGAAGAGCTATTTTCTTTACAAGAAAAAAAAAACGCCATTGAAATATTTTCCCAAATATCCCACAAATAAACTGTTTTGTTGTAATTTTTAAATCAATATCAAGAAAAATAATTGTTAAATGAAATTGAAATAACTTGTGATTTTTTTATAATTTCAGTTGATAATAAAAAAAAAAAAAAAAAAGAAAGAAATTACTGACCCACATCCAATCGAAAAATTTATATAATTCCAACCAGAGGGAATGTTTATTTATTATATAAATTAAGCATGAACTTCTTTTAATGTGGATTTTCATTTTAAAGAAAAGAAAATAATTCTATCTTACCTGATAGTTGGCCAAAGACAGTAACCTCATCTTCATTTTCACAATCAGGCAGCATGACTGCAATGAATTATTCAAAACTAGACTTTTTAAATTAAAAAGTTAATCCTCCCTTGGTTTTCAATCATACAAATAATACGACCACGAAATACTAAACACCATGTATTTATGTAGTGTTAGCAACACGTCGATTTTTTAAAAATTTTGTTTTCCTTTCTTTCTCTCCTTTTTACAGGAAAGAAAAAGCAGGAGGACGGATATCATCCGCCATGCGACTACTTAATGTATCGGTTAGTTACGCCTTGCGCTCTTACCGACTAAAGAAACATTAAAGCGACTAGTCATGACTTTTGATTTACGTTCCTCATTTTGAAAGTGCGCAGTGGAAAACGAAATTAAACACTTACTTGATAAATGTTCATTTATTTCAATCTGTTTTTGTTTTATTGGGAGATATTTTATACACCAATAAATAAAGGGATGAAATGAAATAAACGCATACATCCAAATATGCATGTTTTACACGCTTGTGCACAAAGATTAGAAAAGAGTTGCCAATTGGCATAGGTTTACTCCCCACCTGGTAAAGGCAAAAAAGCAGACAATTTTGTAAAAAAATTCATATTGTAAAGACAGTCAAAGCCCTATGTTTCTCTTCAGGTCCAGGTCTATTACAAGTGTAGTAGTAGGCTAATTTTAATAAACTAAACTAAAAAATATTTCATATATCCCCTGAAAAGTATCACATACTTATCATTTTAACACCTTATTAACATTAACACTAGCATTCTTAAGGATAGGTCAATCAGTTAACTTTGTTTCTGAAACCAGATATTTCAATAAGCAAGACAAAAGATCAAAGACCCTGTGCCAAAGTGAAGGACAATCATACTTGCACTCACTGAACACCCTACACATCCCATCCACTTATCATCCTCAATATAAACCCAGGAAAAATTAGGCTTAGAGATTAGTTCTCTCTACATTTTCAGCAGAGCAGGCTAATCCACTCCACAAACCACCAAAAAACTAATCAGGACAATTGCCTACTACAAAGAAAAAATCTTTCTCTCTCTCACTATTTGTTCCAATGTTATTGCAAGCTACAAAATGTTGCATAAGAAGGATACAATTTATATTCATAAAAAAAGAAATAAACCAATTACAACAATGTTTGTTCAAGAACAGGAGTAGAGGTTTATTCATTGTTTTCTGTTACCTGGTTCTTTTTATTGGGGATCTAGATCTGGACTCATCTTCATTCTGATCTTCTGACTCCATGTTGGATTCATGCAAACTATCCTCCATAGTTTCTTTACTGCTATGTTCACTTTCTCCATCAGAAGCACTCATGCTTTCCTCCCTTTCAGGCACCTCTTCCATCTTTACTTCTTTGTCATCAATTCTAGGTCTTATTTGATCAGACTGAGCCAATAAATTCTGTCCACTTGTTGCTATTATAGTCATATGTCCCTTTTCTGTAATGAAGTTAGCTTTTTCAGGACTTGATTCTTTGTTTTTTTTTGTTTCATTTGTTGAATAGGACATTGTTATAAAACATCTAATCTGTTTTCCCATCAATGCAAACAGACTTTGCATTCTAACAGCATGTGGAATTGTTCTATAACTGGGTAATAATCTCAATAAGTAACTATCAATGGTGTCTCTGGATGGAGTAAATGCTTTCAAGCTTATTTTCACCGTCTGCACCATTCTTTCTGAAATTCTATTTGATTACAGGTGAAATGGTGGTGTTTTATAAGAGAGGCATTCAATTTCTTTTTAACCATGAATACAAAAGTTCATCATCACAAAATTCTGGTACATTGTCAAAGACTAACATTTTGGTTACCCCTTGTCTGGAAAATATCACTTGCAATATTTGCTTTACTATAGCTGCCTTCCTATCCTGAACTCTAACCACTTCAGGCTATCCAGAGAATAACTTAACTAAAAGTAAAAATAATCCTATGCTTTTAACATGTTCATGATCCATATGAATGTGGGACCATGGCTTTTTTTATTTAGACTATGAATGTATCTTGGTTTGGTGAAAAATTTTTAATTTTCCTACATTTTTGCATGTATTTTTCTACATCATGTGAATACTCAAATTACATTTTCAATTTTAATTGTCTCTGTGTTATTGTTATTCCACAATGAACATTGTGTATGCTTTTTATTACATCTTTTCTTAATCTCTCTGGTGGTATGAAGACATCTCCATTGCATATAAGACCCTTCTCTATAGTTAATCTGTGCCTTATTTCTTATTAGGGTTTCTTTCCATTTGTTTCTTTTTATTCTACATGTAACCTTGCTTAATACAAGATTCTGTAAGGTTTCAAATGATCTAATGGTAATATATCTGTTTAAATCCAGCAATATTTTATCTACTGAATTGTCTGATCTTTCTAATGTTTCATTGTTGAACTTTAGTTTTGAAAGTGCATCTTCATGGAATAGTGTTTCTTTTCGCATATTCAATGTCAAAGTCAAAAAGAGATCTGTAATCTCATTCTCCCCACCTGAAACTTTATGGTCCATTAACTTCTTGGCCCGTGCTGTGCAGCAAAGCAACGAATCCATGTTTCCAAAAATTCTGGCTCATTCAACAGCGTTAGAGAGAAATGCTGGCAGCAAGACGGATCCAGCGGGGAGTTTGAATAAATAAGTTGTTAAGCTTACCACATCTTGTGTTGTCTTTCTGTCATTTCAAATTTTCAGGTTTGGTTTGGTTTTTGTTTTACAGCATATCAACTTCAATGGGTTATTTAATGCCGACAAAATTTTTATTGCTGGTAATGTTTTTCTTCAAAAATCTATTTCTGGGAATATTCCTCCTTGAAGAAATCTATAGCTGGTCATATTTTTTTCCAAAGAATGTATAACTGTTTGTATTGCTGCTATTTTTTTTTTTTAAAGTATTGCTGATAATAATTTATCCTTCAAAAGTTATTGCTGGTAATAATTTTTTTTATTACAAAGCATTTCTGGTATTAAAACCTATTTTTACACAAGTTTGGGTGTTAACTATTTGCCCATAGCTGGGACCCTAACAGGTGATACCACCCCTGGTCAGGGTAGACCTGGGAACACCAGCAATTAAGAGGTGGTTCTACGCTCCTCAAAACCTCTTGATCAGAGGCCTTGCTGTTGGACGTAGTTTATCGTCTTACCCAGAACGCGGATGTATTTTATCGTCATACCCAGGATGCCAACTTTTCAGCAGTCAGTCTCATATAATGTATCTTTCCACCCTAAGCCCAGTGAAACATACTCCCCCAGTACTGAGTGATGACTAGGAGGGGACAATTCAACATCATCAACTCATCACCATTGACTGAGCACCGGGACAACTCAGGACTGAGACAACTCAACACCAGAAAAACATAACTTCTTATGAAGTAATTAATTAAGGATTAAAACCTTAATTAGTGAATATTTTTCATAAAATAAGGCATTTGAAAAGGCATTATGCTAAATATGAATATAAAATATGTTTTTTTTGTTTAGAATTATTTTTAATAAAATGAATCATAAATTATTAAATTATCTTTTATAAAAATATTCTAGAATGTTGATTTACAAAACGTTTTAAAACATAAATTACATTTTATTAAAAAATAATTAAAAACAAAAAACTGCTTCATTTTGTTTTGTATTTATCGAGTTACTTTATTAAAAAATAATTAAAAACAAAAAACTGCTTCATTTTGTTTTGTATATTTTGAGTTACTTTATTAAAAAATAATTAAAAACAAAAAACTGCTTCATTTTGTTTTGTATTTTTCGAGTTACTTTATTAAAAAATAATTAAAAAGTGCATTTTATTGAATTATTTTTTATATGTCAACTTTATTAAAAATGAATTTGTTTACAATTTACTTTATTAAAAATAATTAAAAACAAAAAACTAATTCATATTTTATCAATAATTCCTTTTGAAAACTTATCTGATGATTTTATGTAGTATGAAATAAAAAAGATTACAAACAGACAAATGCTGGTACTCAAATTGAAGGAACAGCAACACAAAAGGATAGATGAAAGAAAAAGAGGTTTATTGTCAAAGAGAATACACTACTGAAAGACAGGGGAACCAAAAAAAAAAGTAAATATTGAAGCAAGGATATTTGCTAACTGCCCCACATAAAAGATGTGGCACAAGGCTGAAATTAACGTGGGGTATCAAAAATTAAAGGAAAAAAAACAGGGTCAGCAATAGTTGTCTATCACCCCAGATTTTTTCTGCCCTTTATTTCTAACCTAATTTGGATTTTACTTCTCTATTATGTTAACATTGTGTTTAATTATTTTTAGCTGGAGACAATTTATTTTTAAAAACCAAAAAGCAAGTCAAAAGGTATAAAAAATTGCTCACTATATATTTTACTTAATATAGTCAGTTAAAAGGCAATAAATCTTTGGGACAAAATTTACAAAAAAAATTATTCACTAATTAAGATTTTAATTTGAAGATTAATAAATTACTTTTATTAGGTTATAAAAAGTTATGTTTTTCTGGTATTTGAGTTTTCTGTTTACTGAATCAATTGGTATTGAGTTGGCAGTATTGCAGTCTGCACCTGTGACAACTGATTTATTAGCAATTGCTTGCTCGACTCTATGCAAAATAGGTCATGTCCACTTTGCCTATGTCACTACAGCAATGCTCAGTTACCCTTTTTGTAATGTAGACATACAAATGGTGGTTCTCTCTCTTTCATTGAGATAGTCAGGAGGGTTACGTGATGACCGGTAGATGATGTCAGGAGATAGATTGATGAAGAGAGTTGCAATGTAGAGCCCAGAGAAGAAAGGCATCCCTAGCCCAGTGTTAGGTCTTACAGAAAATAACACATGGCGTAACCAGGTTCATAGAGAAACTGCCATAACTCTAGTTTTCCCTTTGAGAAATATTACAAGTAAGGCTCCCTTTTCTTACACATGACTTGTTGTTGTATATATGTTATAATTTCTCTGCATCATTAGATTTGTATATGTGTATATATTGAACTCACTGTAGCACACCAATTATAAAACACTCTCTCAATCAA